TTCTCCACTGCTTATGTTGGGTAATGAGCAGTCTTGAGAAAACTGGATAGTGGTATGCAAAAAATACACTAAAGTCTTCTAAAGTCTTACACCATATATGAAAATCAATTAAAATGGACTCAAATATTAAATGTGTAACCTAAAGCCACATAGGTCTTAAAAGAAGACAAGAATTAGGTAAGCTTCTTTATATATCAGCTTATAGAATGATTTTTAAAAAAAAAACCTAACAAAAGCAAAGGCAACAAAAACAAAAATAAAAAAGTGAACTGTATCAAACTAAAAAGCTCAATCCAGCAAAGAAAATGAAAAGCAACCTACACAACAGGAGAAAATATTCCTGCAATGATACATCTGGTAAGGTTCATATGATGAGAATTCAAACAACTCCATTAAAAATGAGTGGAGGATTGGAATAAACATTTTCCTAAAAAATACAAAGAGCAACAAGAACATGAAAAAAAATGGACATCACTAATCAGTAGGAAAAAGCAAATTAAAACTACAGTGATATATCACTTCACACTAATTAGAACAGCAATTATCCAAAGACAAGAGCTAGTGAGTATTGGTGAGGTTCTAGAGTAAGCGAACTCTTGTGCACTGCTGGGGATTATTATAAATTCATTCAGCCACAGTAGGAAATAGTGTGGCAATTCCTCAAAAAATTAAAACTTTACAATACATAACGCTATTTCTGGGTATTTCTCCAAAAGGAATGAAAACACCTAACTTAAAAAAAACTGCATTTTCATGTTTGTTGCAGCATTATTCATAATATACAGGACATTAGAACAAATGTACATCAGTAAATGAATGGATAAAGAAAATGTGTGTCTTGTTCATATGTCTTGAAAGTTTATGTGCCTAAACCTTTGCACATTATTCAACTATTAGCAAGGAAATCATCTCATTTGCAACTAAATGGGTGGGACTTGAGAGCAGTATGCTAAGTAAAATAAGCCAGAGAGAGATACAAATACTGTATAATTTCACAAATATGGAATTACAAAAAGAAATCAGACTCATGAAGAACAGTCTGGAAATTACCAGAAGAGAGTGTTGGGGTAGGTGAAATCGGAGGCTAAAAGATTGAAACCTCTTTTTGACCAGGAGATGGCTCAATGGCTAAAGCACGGCGACCTTACAAATATGAGGCCATGAGTTCAATCCCCAGTTCCCCCAACACATACTGAAAGCGATCCTTGCAGCTCCCTGGTGTGGAGAGATTTCCAGCCACAGGGCAGTCAGGCGTGTGCAGTGTCACAACTAAAGGCTGCAACCTCCAGCAAGCACCACAACTAAAAGAGACAGGCAAACACTACAGCCAAGAGGCAAGAGTGCAATCTCCCTTTCAGGAGTACCACAACTAAAGGATTGTGAGTCTCAGCAAGTCTCAGCAAGCACCAGGGTGAGGTGTGTGAGCCCTGCAACTTGATGTGTGACAGTACCTCCACCAAAGTGTGCAGGCACCACAGACAAGTATGTGTGTGTGTGTGTGTGATCCTCTCGTCACAGCACCAAACAAGAGAAGGGAAAGAGGAGAATAAGTAACAGACCTCAATTTTCAGGTAAACTCCTCCTAGAGATACTACATACAGAATTGTATATTCAATTAACAACACTGTCATATATTTGAATATTACTATGAAAGTAAATCTTAGAAAGCTCTCATCCCAAGGAAAAAATTATTTTTAACTTTTTAAAAATAATTTACACTCCTCACTGACTTTATCTGTCTTGGATCTACGCTTGGCATATATATGAATCTATTTCTAGGCTATTCCATTCTTCTTTCCTTGCAGCAGAATAGAATTAAATTTTCTTTTACTTTCTTCATTTTTGGATGGGCAGTTGGGGGAGGGGTTTCTCACCAGGATTCCTCAGGGAAGTTTCATTGCTCTGGTTCAATATGATGATGCTTGGGTGGCTGTGCTGGGAATCACCAGGGATTCACCTGAGAGCTTGGTGCTCCAGGATCACACTGTGGACCAAACTCTTCAAGGCACACACAAATTCCCACCTTTTGGAGTCCTCTCACCCTCCGGAAGCAAGTCTTCTTTGAGTTCTGCAAGTTCATTATGAATACAGACCATGCATAGGCAGACTTTCCTTCCCCTTTCATTCATTAAAAAAAAAGGCTATTTTTCATCCCTTCCACTTTTTCATAAAGTGGATCAGATGGTTCCTGGCACTGCAGGTTTGAAACATACTCTGGCCCTAGCATTGAATTTCTGCTCTTGGCTAAGTATCCCTGGAACCGCCCCAGGCCCTCTGAGCACCGCTTAGGAGACCAGCTCCCCTATCTTCCCTCAAAGTTTGTAATCAGCTTTCCAAGTTTCACTGAAAATCCTATTAGGATTTATTTCTATTTGCATTACCTATACAAAACTACAAAGAAATGTTTTATAATAAAAGATTTCTTTCCATTACAAAAATCTTTTATTTCCTTTTATTTTACAGGAACTATGTTTTTGCTTCTCTCCACACGGTGGCACCACAAACTTATTAATCAGATTTTCACAGTTGGAAAGAAGAAACCTAACCACGTGACAGTCTTAATACTTTTAAATACCTACATGTATTGAGAAATAGGCCAGAGTTTCATATGCGATGTTCAGCAGTCTCTCCAACGTTGAATTACTTTTGTTAAAAACATATACAGCAACATTTGATAATCAAATAAATGATAATGGGGAAAAACTCCTTTTATTTTTCAGTCATCTAAGCTTAGAAGGCCGTAAAGAAATATCTAGCTAGCAAGCTATATCTGCCTACTATCTATGTCATAGTTAACCAATAAAATACATGGTGTAATGTTAATTCTAGATACAATGTAGTGTTTCCCAAATCTGCAGACCTACTCAGGCTAGCGAGTTGGTTTGCACAGTTAAAGAAAAGGTTACTTCCAGGTTTACTGAATGAAGGGATTATGTAATTCTTCATATCCACCCCCCAGCCCACCCCTTATTCCAGCCCTGGGTAAAGTCTACTTTCCCTCACCAGAAACATGTCTGGACTTGCCCTGACCTGTTTAAAGAATGAAGAGGAAAGGGAGACTTTTCCTTTCTCTTCTGTGCTGCCAATAAAAGTTTTCGCACAATGTTTGAAGGGTTTGAGACAGAACGTCTTTTGTAAATGTTTGTTTAATTGATACCATGCAGCTCTTAATTTGATATTTATTATTCTGGAATTCTAAACAGCCTCGGAATTTGGTATCAAAACACGAATACATCCTGTTAAAGTAGCTAAAAATACCTGTGTAATACAAAGCAACACAATCTGGAGAGTCCAATAAAATGTAGAGAACAGTGAAATTATTCAAGCCCCAAATTTTCTTATTATAAAATGTTGACAATTTCTAACTAGAGATTTTTGTAAGATTAAGCAAGGCATTTAAATATGCTAAAAAGACGCCCTCCACACAAACATCACAGTATTGTGAACATAAACAGGTTAAAAAAAATGTGTTTCTAAATTAACAATCCGAGTAGTATTATCTGGAAAAAGAGAAATAATTCGGTAATTCACTCGCCTATGGCAGCCAACGAGGTTTACTGAGTGTTTTACAGACAAGTACTCTGCACGAACCGTTTGGAGACGGGAAGGAAGAGTTTGATTGCTAACCCATTAATGAGCGCCAGGAGCACTTTTTTTTTTTTTATTAGTGAAGCACCATGAGGTACAGTTGTAGATTTACAAATCTTTGTGCTTGGGTTTCGGTCATACAATGATCAGATACCCATCCCTCCACTAGTGCCCATTTTCCACCACCATGGATAATATCCCCCCAACCCCCCATCCCCCCCTGCCTCTGTGTCAGGACAATCCCCTGTGTTCTCTCTCTCCTTTTGGGTGTTGTGGTCTGCAAAAGAGGCATTGAGTGGCAAACATGTTCAGTCCATAGTCTACTTTCGACATGCATCTCCCCTCCTGGGAGGATCCTCCAAACACCCTCCATTTGGTGCTCCCTTCTTTATCTGAACTGTCCTTTCCTCTAGAATGCCGGACTGGCCACTAAGCTATGGAGTAATCCTCCTGGTGCTGATCTCAGCTATTCTTGGGTATTAATCTCATATTCTGTTACTTTATATCCCCCAGATGAATGCAATCTTTCTATGTCTATCCCTCTCTTTCTGACTCATTTCGCTTAACATGATACTTTCTATGTTGTACCACTTGTATGTAAATTTCATGACTTCATCTTTTCTAAGAGCTACCACCCCGTCCAAGAAGGCCCACAGTAGCCCTAACCACTGCCCACTCTGCTCGCCAACGTGCTTCTGGAACATTCCGCGAGGTGGCGCGCTTGCTTCCCCGTCTGCAGCCGCTGGGAACCTTCCGCAACACGCCAGTTCTCACCCCAAGGTGACAGGCCCCACCGCGGACCACAGGATGCTTGCTCGCTGCGGGTGATGGGCGTGGGACCACCAAGAGGGTCACCGTTGGCGGTTCGTGCAGACCCCGCCTCCTGCAGCAGTGCGCTCGGACACCCAGCGCTGGCGACGAGCATCACCTCCCCACGTGGGGTCCCCGAGCCCCGGGCGAGCAAGGCGGCCACGTGCGCTCGCGGCTGGACTTTGGGGGACGCGGGGTGGCGGGGGCGGTGCGGAGGGGGACCGCTGCGTCGGAGGAGGGGGCGCGGGGATCGGACAGAAGCGGGGTCCGAGTAACCCTCCCCGCGCCGCCAAGCGCGAGGGGGTGGGTGGGGGGCGGCGCCTGGGCGAGGCGACGCGCGACCCCCTCGGGCCGACAGACCCCGCCCGGAGTCCGGAGCGCGGGCAGCCGAGCGGCTCGCCCGGGGCCGGGCGCGCGCGGACCTGGGCGGCCGGCGAGGGGCGGGGCCGTGACGTCGCATCCCGCCGGAGGCTCCGCCCCGCCCACCCGCGCGGCTATAAAAGGCGGCGGCGCGCTCGCACTCGCACAAGTGGACGGAGCCGGCGGCGGCAGCGGGTGCGGGGCGGCGCGGCGCGGCGCGGCGGGGCTCGGGGGTCGGGCCGGCTCGCAGCGGACGGGCTGGGCGCGGGTGGTGGCCATGGAGCTCCTGCGGACGATCACCTACCAGCCGGCCGCCGGCACCAAGACGTGCGAGCCCGCCTCGGGCAAGGCCGGCGGCGGGGACTCGAAGAAGAAGCGGGCGCAGCAGCCCCCCGAAGACGCGCAGCCGGCGGCGCCGGGCCACGCCGGGGCCCCCCACCATCACCACCACCACTCGCACCCGGGCGCCGAGGTCTCGAGGATCATCGTCGATCCCAGCACCGGGAAGCGCTACTGCCGGGGCAAAGTGCTGGGCAAGGTGACGAGAGCGGCGGGCAGCGGGCGGCCCGCGCGGAGGAGGAGGGAGGGACCTCAGCCCCCCCCCCGCCCCCCCACGACGACCCCCGACTCGGGCTGGATCCTTCTCGGGGGTCCTGGCGCGGCGGCGGCTGCCCACCTGCCCCTGCGCTGGCTTTTGTGCGCGCTGACAGCGCTGGGCATTTGCATCCCGAGCAGCAGCTGGCAGCCTCCTGCCTGCCCCCGCTCTGCCACCTCTACCCCCCAAAAAAGAAGAAAAAAAGGATCCGGAGGCCCGACGCCACGCGAGGGTTTTCTCCATCATCCCTCGCGCCCTCCACCTGCTCCCCGGAAAATTATTCCTCGACCAGTCTCTTCGGATTTCTTATCAGCCCGACCCCAGCCGCCCCGTCCGAGCATAGAGCTCCCCTTGCACCAGGGAGAAGGGAAATTGCATCGACTGTTTTCAGGAATGCTTTTCCCCCTTCCCTAAAGGAGCATTAAAAAAAAAATTGTCACCCCGCCGCTTCGCCGTCCCCGTCTCATATTTGGATATTTTGGACACAGCCCTCCCCCCACTCACCCGCACCCTGGTTTTTCATTTTGCTTTTTAAATACAGGCGGTCCTTTTTTTTTTCTCTCTCTCTTCTGTCCCACTCAATTTCGTCACGGCTTTTGTTTCCTTTCAGGGTGGCTTTGCAAAATGTTATGAGATGACAGATTTGACCAACAACAAAGTCTATGCTGCAAAAATTATTCCTCACAGCCGAGTAGCTAAACCTCATCAAAGGGAAAAGGTGTGTATGACTACTGAGTAAAGTATTTTCTTTGTGTGCAGGGATGGCCCTTCCCTCTTAAGAAAATGTCTTCTGCATGTGTAAGCACCAGCTTTTCAGAGGGTGAAGGTAGGCTGAAAAGCCTTCTCTTGCGTTTTCTTCTAGATTGATAAAGAAATAGAGCTTCACAGAATTCTTCATCATAAGCATGTTGTGCAGTTCTACCACTACTTTGAGGACAAAGAGAACATTTACATTCTCTTGGAGTACTGCAGTAGAAGGGTAAGAGTTCACTGTTATTCCTTTTCCCCTCCGAAAAAAAAAAAACCCCTTCAGTTATTCAAATTGCATTTTACCTGGTATTTAGTTGTGGAGCTGTGCATTCGTCTGCAGCCTATACTTTCACTCATAATGTAAATGGAAACCGCTGCTTTTGATCACTGTTGTGACAGATTTTCTTTTCCTCTTCCTCTCCTAGTCCATGGCTCATATTTTGAAAGCAAGAAAGGTGTTGACAGAGCCTGAAGTCCGATACTACCTCAGGCAGATTGTGTCTGGGTTGAAGTACCTTCACGAACAAGAAATCTTGCACAGAGATCTCAAGCTAGGTAAACCCTGAACTCCAAAGACTTTAGTATTATACTGGGAACTTTTTTAACTTTAACTCTGTCTACATATTCTTAGCATGTAAATATGCGGAGAATATTTAGCTTCTAAATACGGGATCTAGCTGATGCAATCTCACTGTTGAGTGGTAACCTTAATATTAAACAAGTGACTGCCTTTTTTCAAATTAAATGTGTGTATGCTTGGTTAGAATACCTTTTCCAAGAGATTCAAGTTTCGGTTTGTTTTATCTTCCAGGGAACTTTTTTATTAATGAAGCCATGGAACTGAAAGTCGGGGACTTTGGTTTGGCAGCCAGACTGGAACCCTTGGAACACAGAAGGAGGTAATTATCAGAGATACGTACGGTACTAGAGTTTTGTGGACATCAAATGTGTCCTTAAGATTTTCTAATTAGTGTTTTAGAGACAATTGATAATAAAATGTTTAAGTCATAATTGTGTTCACCTAAGGAAATATTTAGTGCCCTCTATGGACTAGACAGAGTATCTTACAGCTCAAAGTTGATTATAAAAGAAATCTATCTGATATTTGCCTGAAATGTATAAAAATGGCTTACTGCCCTGGTTCTAGTTAAACATACTATCATATGGGCTGAAAACCTTGCATATGCGTTTATCAAGTCAGTTTGTTAAATGTCAGTTGTTCAAAATCCAAAATCAAGATATTCCAAATAGCAGTCCAACATAATACTTTGCCAGGATTTGCCCAGAGAACTAAATCTTAAATAAATAAATAAATAAATAAATTCCAATGAGATGTCATATTTTGCCTTTCAGAACAATATGTGGTACCCCAAATTATCTCTCTCCCGAAGTCCTCAACAAACAAGGACATGGCTGTGAATCAGACATTTGGGCTTTAGGTTGTGTAATGTAAGTACATGCTTCAAATGATCACAAAGAAAATTTGGATTTAGATTTTTACCACTGGAAAGGAGTTGCTTTATGATCAGTCATAATGAAGTGGTTTTTTGCATGCAGGTATACGATGTTACTAGGAAGACCTCCCTTTGAGACTACAAATCTGAAAGAAACCTACAGGTGCATTAGAGAAGCAAGGTATACAATGCCATCATCATTGCTAGCTCCGGCGAAGCACTTGATAGCTAGCATGCTGTCCAAAAACCCGGAGGATCGTCCCAGTTTGGATGACATCATTCGGCATGATTTTTTTTTGCAGGTTGGTGTGTTTCTTACTAGTGTGCTTTTAAATTTACTTTTAAATTTAAACTTATCTTTTATTGAATTGCAATTATCTAACAGGTTACTCAAAGTGTTCTCTGATACTCCACAGGGCTTCACTCCAGACAGACTTTCTTCTAGTTGTTGTCATACAGTACCAGATTTCCACTTGTCAAGTCCAGCTAAGAATTTCTTTAAGAAGGCGGCTGCTGCTCTTTTTGGTGGCAAGAAAGACAAAGCAAGATATATTGACACACATAGTAAGTTATATGACTTCTTCCCCTTTTTTTGTATCCAGTGTTGTACTTAATTTGAGAAGTCAAGAAATGTATTTCATATGGGCATAAATTAGTTAGGTGTGCTTGTGTACTATTGACCTTCTTATAACCTAGTAAATCTAGACTCTTATTGTCAGCTTTTTTTTCTCATGTGCACTAAAGTGTGCTTATCGCATAATTGCCACTGATGGCAGTGATAAAAATGCTGTTTTTGCCTTGGATGTTCATAAGTGGCTTGTTAATGTAAAAGGAGGAAATATGACTAGCTCTGTTCCTATCTTGTTAGGTTACACTAATGCTCATAATTCTTCTCCTTGATTTGCAGATAGGGGGCCTAAAGAAGATGAAGAAATTTACAAGCTTAGACATGATTTGAAAAAGACTTCAATAACTCAGCAACCCAGCAAACACAGGACGGATGAGGTATGCTGGAAGCGAAGAGAATAGAAGCACTTCACATCAATTCTTTCCTTTGTTAATTATCTCTTGGCCTCGAACCATCACAGTTCAAGTGCGATCTCTCTTTTGCTTCCCCACACCACCCCGGCTCCTTAAAAAAGGAGAGACGCTTTTCTTTTAACAATTCGTGCAGTTGAGTTACCTAATAATTTTCACCTGGCTTGTGGCCATTGGTTTTCGATGCACTTTCCCAGCAAGTGCCACAATCTCATCTTAACCTGCAGTTCTCTGCCTTGAATAAATCTTGGGTGATTGACTCCTTGCCTCGCTCTTCTCTTTTCCAGGAGCTGCAGCCAGCTAGCGCTACAGTTACCAAATCTGGAACACCTGCAGTAGAGAACAAGCAGCAGATTGGAGATGCCATTCGAATGATAGTCAGGGGGACTCTTGGCAGCTGCAGCAGTAGCAGTGAATGTAAGTGTTTGTCAGTTGCGTTTTACATCTTAAACTATAAATGCCAGCGCTCAGTACTGAATTATTGAAATCAGTTTAGCATTTTAATGAGGAAAAACCAGAATTGGAGGAACTGGAAAAAAAAAAACAGGGAAGAATTTGAATTCTCAGGGTAGAATCAGTGGCAGAAATTGAGTGTCTCCTAAAGTTTTAAGTTTTAATTATAAATTTATAATGTTTTATGACTTTCTCTGGCTTTTCAGGCCTTGAAGACAGTACCATGGGAAGTGTTGCAGACACAGTGGCAAGAGTCCTTCGAGGATGTCTAGAAAACATGCCCGAAGCTGACACCATTCCCAAAGAGCAGCTGAGCACGTCCTTTCAGTGGGTCACCAAATGGGTCGATTACTCTAACAAGTACGGCTTTGGGTACCAGCTCTCAGACCACACTGTCGGCGTCCTTTTCAACAATGGTGCTCACATGAGCCTCCTTCCTGACAAAAAGTAGGTGTATCCAATTGATAACGTCTTGTCATTTCATTAATCTTTCACAAAAGAAATCTGAAAACACTGACTAATTGCTTTTTTTCCTCTTTTCTCCCTATCACTGCTGTTTTTAGAACAGTTCACTATTATGCAGAGCTTGGCCAGTGCTCTGTTTTCCCAGCAACAGATGCCCCTGAACAATTCATCAGTCAAGTGACGGTGCTGAAGTACTTCTCTCATTACATGGAGGAGAACCTCATGGATGTAAGTACTGTGGCTCATGGAACAGGGATATTTAAAGTGTAGTCTACACACAAGTAACATCTGCACAACATTTAAGCCTGTTAGAAATGTGCAGCCGCGTATGTCTTAGGCCAGATTCAGAACCTGACTGAGGGAGATGGGACAGAAAACTCTAGAACTTTTTGAAGCTTCTTTAAGAATGAGAGGCACATCACAAAACCTTTATGGGCACTAACTCGCATTCTCTTCCAGGGTGGAGACCTGCCTAGTGTTACTGATATTCGAAGACCTCGGCTTTACCTCCTCCAGTGGCTAAAATCTGATAAGGCCTTAATGATGCTCTTCAATGATGGCACTTTTCAGGTAAATGGCCCCTTTATGTTTAGACCATAAAAATATTTTTTTTTACCAAGTTAATTATGGACAACATTTAAACATTCTTGCATATTTAGGGAGACCTAATGTCTGTGACTCCTTTTTTAAAGGTGAATTTCTACCACGACCATACAAAAATAATCATCTGTAACCAGAATGAAGAGTACCTTCTCACTTACATCAACGAAGACAGAATATCTACCACGTTCAGACTGACAACCCTGCTTATGTCTGGCTGTTCATTAGAATTAAAAAACCGAATGGAATATGCTCTGAACATGCTCTTACAAAGGTGTAACTAAGGACTTTTTAACGGACCCTATGGGACTCCTCTTTTCCACTGTGAGATCTACAGGGAAGCCAGTCGAATGACCTACAGCATGTTGAAGAAGATGGGCAGGTGGTGGTACGAAAACAGTGACAACAATTCCTCTGTGGCCTGCTGACTGGACAGAACCGGAGCAGACTAAGGCATACAGTTTTTGACGCTGGACAATCCTAGAGTGAACCAGAACGCAGTTTGCCTTTGTGTACCTGTTTTTTCAAGGTTTTTCGGACATTTTTGCAGAAAGTTGCATTGACTCTTAACTTCTCTCTGTTGAGAGCATTTCAGACAGAGGACATGGAACTGTGAATATACTTCCTGAAGGGGAGGGAGAAGGGAGGAAGCTCCCATGTTGTGTAATTAGAGCAGCTTTTGGCTGCGTAACTGTGAACTATGGCCATATATAATTTTTTTTTTTGGTTAATTTTTGAAAGACACTTGTGGCTGGAAAAGTGCATTCCTTGTTAATAAACTTTTTATTTATTACAGCCCAAAGAGCAGTATTTATTATCAAGTTTTTTTTATGTTGACCATTTTAAACTATTGGCAATAAAGAGTATGGAAAACCCAAACTGACGGTGTCTTGTCTGGCATCACATATCAACAAACTTGATCGTGGATTCATGGCACTTTTTGGCATGGCATTGAGTGTAGGAGCATTCCAGAAAATTAGATCTTTGCGTTTTCTAATAATAGCTTCTAGGAAATCATTCTTTAATACCTGAAACATAATCATACTGGGTAGGTCTATTTAAAGAAGAGAATATCGCAAAATTAGCAACTCTTGTTACAGCTGAAATATAGGGCTCCTATTGAACCCCAAACCTTCCCTCTGTCATATTTCCTCAAAACTCATTTGGCTTGTCTCTTGAAGTATAATATAGTATAAATCAAATCTGTGTTCTAAAGTATCAGTAGGTACAGAAAGTTATTCTTAAGTTGGAAAAAACTGTAATGCATCAACTAAATGTATTCCTCAACTTAAACCTACTTCAACATTTCTAGTGCTTCTAACAGTACTTGTATATAATGCTAGTAGAGAGAAGCACAAGTGATAAGTCATTTTCCTTTTGGTCATGGTAGAGTAAGAGTGGTAGAGCTTTAAGTTCATCTCTTAACCTGTCAAATTACCCAAAAGGTAAATTAAAGGTTTTATTGTATTGATAGGTTTATTCCAACATATAAAAAGCTGCCCATGCTTGGGTCTTTGTTCAGTGGTTTAAGGCAGATTTTTTTCTGTATGTTTGTATTTTAGGCCACACTCAGCAATACTCAGGGCTTACTTCTGGCTTTGCACTCAGTGCTCCGTCCTGGTGGGGCATGGAGTGCAGGAGATTGGACCTAGTTCAGCTATGTGCAAGGCAAGCACCCACTTTATTATCTCCCTGATCCCCTTATAACAGTGTCTTAAGAAAACTAGAAAATTACATTACCTAGTATGTTACATACCTGAATATGCAAGAGTAATATCTACTTTGGGAGGAGACAAAAGTTTATTTCCAAATCAAATTAAACACCACACCCCAACATTTTTGAGTTTTGCGGTATAGGATGGTCGATTCCTTCCTCACTTCAAAAGTGCATGCTTATGTAATTTTACCTATATCAAGCTACTGTGTTCCGCATTCAGGACCTGGCACGAAGTTTACAGAATGAATGCTAGCCTCTCCCTACCCTCAAGGAAGTTACAGGAGAGGAGGTGATAATGTACATTTGCCTATTAGTCTTATGGGTGCTATGATACTATGATAAAGGTATTCATTGGGTGTTGTGGGAACCTAGAATAGGAATCATAAAGAAGAAGCCCTAGGCATAGGGTGCTTAGAGAACAGATTCCAGAGAAGGAAGTTCTTTTTCACAGTATCTTGAAAATTGGGGCGAGGGAATGTGAATAATAAGTAGAAGTGTGAGTTGGGGGTGGGTGTTACATGCAATGGGAATAGTCCAGACAGATGTCTGCTCAAGGGTGAGTCTGTTGTCAAAGTGAGCCTGAGAGTCTGGAGTAAAATAGGGACAATCTGAAGAAACAGCTGTACTGTGTCCTATGATACACGATTCCAAAGCATTTAGGTTGCATTGAAGACATTTAGCTGCACTGTACTTCCCAATGGAATTTATGAGTGAACTGGAGTTTCAACTGTACAAGACTCATTTGGGAACACAGGCAAAATGGATGGGGGATAAAATGGAGAAAGACAACATAAGCAGTAAAGAGATTAATACTGTGATCTAGGTGAGAAAAAAATTTAACGAAAACAGCAGAGTTAAACATTATCTCCTTGGATCCATCTGCTTCATTTTAACCCCCACCGGAGGCCTGGTGCATGGTGGTTGGATAGTGAGTGAATGAATAATGATGATAGGTTGGGAGGAACTTAGAAGGTTTACGTTAGCAGGATCTGGTACCTGACTGAAAATGGAACCTGAGGAGAGAAAAAAATCTGGGGCAATTAATGAAAGGAAATGTGATACTTTGCGGGTTATTAGCTGAAAGAAATTGAAAGCATAGGTGGAATAGCCTGATATTCATGGAAATACACTGAGGTAAGGACATGTTTAATCTGACCTGTATGAGAATGCCAAATAGATCTAGAAAACCGTTGGCGACACAAGCCAACATTTCTAGAAAGAGCAAGAACTGGAAGTAACCAGTTTTGGTATAATATAATAGGGGTGCAGGATCGACATGTCATGCACTTTCTATCTAACAGCGTACTTTTGCTACTGAGCACTGTAGCACTGTCCTCCCATTGTTCATCAATTTGCTGGAGTGGGCACCAGTAACGTCTCCATTGTGAGACTTGTTACTGTTTTTGGCATATCGAATACATCACGGGTAGCTTGCCAGACTTTGCTGTGCGGGCGAGATACTCTCGGTAGCTTGCCAGGCTCTTCGAGAGGGATGGAGGAATCAAACCCAGGTCGGCTGCATGCAAGGCAAATGCCCTGCTCGCCCTACCCGCTACTGAGCACATCTCTACAAAATATAATAGTGTTGTTAAGGCCAGGGAAAGAAGGACACAAATAAATTATTCTCACAAACCTGAATACCATAAAAACTACTCCAAAATAACAAAAAAAATGTGCATTTGTGTATGTGGCGCTAAGATCAAAACCTAGGGCCTCATTCATGCAGGCATGTGTTTTGCCACTGAGTCTCACCCATGGCCCCTATAGACGTACTTTTAATTAATACTTTTTTTATAAAGACTTTTATTATTCATCCTAAATCCTGGCATATAAAAGTCAATTTTAAAAGATAGACTAGTTTTTCAAGGTATAAAAATGGCTACATTTGTTAAAGAGGGGATTGCAATAAATCAAATTCCAGGTTTATTGATAATGATTCTTTTTATATCTTAATTCATTCAGTTGTTCAGGAATGATTTCCAAATGCAACCTTTGTTTTCGAGAGAAAAAATACCCAGTGGAAAAGCTTTGAAATCAGTACTGAGTTCAAATTCCATTTCCACCATGTAGTAACAATGTGATCTCAGTAAATTCCTATCTCAGGTTCAGTTTCCTCATCCTGTGAAGATTAAATGATAATGAAACACTTGCACACCAAAGGCGCTCAATCAATATTTGCTCTCTTGCCTGCTGTTTCCTTGCCTTCTTTCACGCCCATAAAACCAGTTACCTTGGTTACCTAGCAAAGAAAAAGCTGACTCATTCTCGCCTTCCCTCTCCCTTCTGTGTCATAGTCCAGTCAGGAATGCAAACATCACTTTGGATATTCAAAGAGAAGGAATTTAATGAAGATTATTGGTTATAAAAATGACAGATGGACTCAGAATGAAGGCATTTTATAGCACTTTTATGCATGAGTGTCAGGATATTTCTAAGGTTCGAAATAAATTCTTCTACTAACCTGTAGTTTCTATGTTGTTTTTCTTTGACTTGCACGAGATTCTAGTGAACATATGCTTAGATTTATGTGTTATTCTGGTGCTTCTATATGACTGATTAACTTTAGTAATGGGAAGTATCTCTTTTGTTTGAAATGCTATATTTTGATATTAGAGAATGCCAATTAAAAAAAAACTCACACATGTAGTGTTGTAGTATTGGAATTGAATGCCATTGTTCATCAATGTTCGGAATTCAGTTGAATAGAGTATAGCTTTTACTCCAAGAGTAGCATTATAGTACATATACATATAAACTAGAATGGCTTTTAATGATTGAGGTAAAATAACCATTTCTAGGTTAAGATAAAAATAAATAAATTTACTCAGCTATTTCTGCTATGAAATGCTTGATTGATATTTTAACTCAGCCATGCAGGAACTGATTGATATTTTGACCCAGCCAGGCAAGAATGACTCAGGAATACAAAAAACAGGCAACAAGCCTCAATAAAATAAAATCAACAATCACTCTTTGTACTGATTTGAAATCACTGAAAGCAAAATGACCTTTAGAGTTGGAATCTTAGACTGAACATGCCCAAAGAGTTTTTCTGGAATACTGATTGATTATTTGATCCGAACGGTTCTTTTATTATATAGGAAACATTTGAAAAATGCAGATTATGTGAGTTTAAATTTAACTTGTAAATTTTGTTTTGTGGTGTGGATATACCTAGGAATGCTTGGGTGACCATATTATGTGATGAAATTTGAACCAGAGCCATGGCTGCAGATGCATGCTAGGCAAGTGTACATTTTTTGTTGTTGTTTTTAAACCATATCTGGCAATGCTCAGGGCTTACTTCTCACTCTGTGCTCAAGGATCTGTGCTCTGTTCTCTGAACACCTAGTGGGCTTGAGGGATTATATGGGGAGCAGTTGAAATTTAGTCAGCTATGTGTAAGGGAAGTGCTTTCCCACCTGGACTACTCTCCAGCCCCAAGTGTCTTAAATTCTGAATCATCTTTCTGGCTTTTTAAAAGTGGATTTAATTTTATTTTTAAATTTTTGGTTAAAATGCAGAATTATGTGAATTTTAGTGAACATTATATCTATATAGAAGATGGTTAAATATCTCAAAAACTGAAAAAGAAGAAAAACAAAATCCTAACAAGTAATATATCCACATAGAATAGAATGCAGAGAAGTTAATTTGTGGTCACTTGGGAGACGTTTAACAGCCAGTTCTTTTGTCCTATGTATGGAGAAATCCATTTTGTTGCATTTGAAGATCTATGGTGTAAATACTTTCAGCACAGCTGATTTAAAGCTACCAGTATGATGTCTCTGAATGTGTATTTGGAAAGAATTACCTGGCAACTCACATTCAAGTGTGTATCCACATACAAATACAATAGAAATAAATAGCTTCAAGAAATAAGTAATAATATAATGTAGCAAAACAATTAGTGCTGAGTTTTGAATATTCATTGCCTTTGTTATTAAGATAACTGACTTAATTGTAAGTTTTATACTTTAATTTTTAATAATGGCTGTGTTTAATAACCAATTAGCTTACACAAATTTTGAATATTTAACTGCCATTTACTACTACCTTGTATAGACTGACTCCATAACAGCAATGGTAACAACTCAACATAGGGATGAGGACTTTACAGGCTTGGAGAAATAGAAGATTAATCCAATGTTAGGAATAATTA